ATTGCTCCACTCCTTCCTAAATATCCTGCTCAGGTGCTAGGTTTCTTTTTCTTTGCTTTTTATTATTTTTCTTTAGTTTTCTTTCTTTTCGATTTTGTTGGTGTTTTATTTTGATTTTTGTCCAATGATGACATTGTTCGATTCAAGTTTTGGGGCATAGAGAGTCTTGTTTAAAAAAAAAAAAAAAATTTAATTCAATTCTTTCTTTGACATATTGATTTTAATTCAAGTATTTAAGAATTGTCGAAGGGATTAAGACACTTAAATAATTTTTTAATTATTTTCTGAGATAGTCCTGAATTCATATGTTTTACCTTATGTGGGTTCCATTATATAGTATGATAGGAGTTCTAGTATTTATCAGTCCCTAATGGATTTCACATGCACAGTTGCATACTATAATTTTATTTATGGGTATTTGTATTTTTAGTTGAATTCTGATGACTTGATGGATATGAATTAGTGAACTTTGAAAGTTATTACTATGACATAAAAAATAAAAATAAAAATATATAAATACTTTCATAGAGTAATTGGGTCTCATGCCTCAGTAAGCATAGATTGTTCACATGAAGAAGTGGGGGGTAAGGATAAAGAAAAAAAAAAAAAAAAAAAACCAATTGTATCATGTCATATAAGTAAAAATGTTTTATTTTAGTTGTTCATATTACTACATGACACTATTTAATAAGTTGGTGATGCTATATCATCACTACAAATGTCTCAATTAAGTTTTTCTCGAAAGACACGAAGACTGACAATCCAATTATAAATATTTTTAAATTACAAAACTTTCTTTATTATTATCACTCTCTCTTCCCTTCTTTCCTAACAAAGAAAATAATGTATTATCTCATTCTATTATCTTCCGTTCAATCAAAAACAAAAAAGAAGAAGAAGTAAATGTCTCATTCGTCTCTTATTCTCTCATTTCTATCCAATTTTCTTCTATCCTACCAAACGGAGCATAAGAATCTCCCTAGGCAAATTGTAAATTTGAGTGTCCTCTAGGGCTACAATTTGAACAGATTGGAGGTATAACTAGAATCCAATTCGACTTATTGAATGTTTAAAACTAATTCAAAACTAGCTCGCTTTTCAATCTTAACTATTCAATCTGAGCTCAATCATCCTTTTATTTTTAAACTTGATTTTGTAACTTGGGCTAAAATTTCAGATTAAAAAGTCACCAATCTCCACACTGAAGAGTTAGTTTCAGATTAAATTACTACTAAACACAAAACTCTAAAAACTTATTGCAAACTTTTAATAAATTACAAATAAATTTAAAAAAAAATAATTCTCCATAGTGTTAACATAAATAATAAATTAAGATTAATAAAAAAAAAAGAAGTTGAATAAAAAAGGTGACCATAATTTAAATATTATCTATAATGTATTTAAAATAATATTAAAATTCGGGTTTGGGTTGGGCTTGGGTTGATAACAATCCAAGTACAACTCTAATTAAGTCCAGGTTGAGATTTTTCAATTTAGACCCGTCCTTAATTGTAAAAATATTTGTTGTTGAAGCTCGCAAAAAATTAGGCTAAGCTCGGATTTGATTCGGGTTGCACAACCCAAGTTACAACCCTATTCCTTTCTCACGAAACTCAAAAATACTTGAATTTAAATAATATGCATAATTTGTGAATGAAAATGTATATTCAAAGTTTACCTTGCAGGCTCGTTTAGTTCACAAGGTGGGAAGAGTTACTCTTTTTTAGAAGAAGAAGAAATAGTTTTACCCGAAGAAAACTATATTTACTAAAAGAACAAAAAAGAAAATAGTAACTAAATAGGAATAGACGACTATTTCAAATCAATGTAGTACAATAATATAACAAAACTTCTTGTCATATGTATATATCCTATGATTGTGACCCTACAACTTAATCTAGCATGAAAAATTAGAGTCCTATAAATGGTGCAATGAATGCAACATATTTGAATTATAAGAGAATGATGGTGATACATTCATCGAACGGCGAGGATTTAAAAGTGTTTATAAACCCTATAAATGTAGTTTTGAGATTATGGATAATCAATCATTTGATGTCAAATTAAAGGTGAAGTATTCTCAATTATGAAGAGCACATCAAGTGATGACGTTTTGAGGGCACATCTAGTGATGACTTTTTGAGTCCCTTGGAGTGATTATTAGATATTTTTAGACCTGGGTTATTTAAGTGAGTTGGGTCACTTAAGATTCATGTTCAGATTTTTTTATTAGTTCACTTTTCTTAATTCGATAATTTTGATTTGATTGAATCACATGCGTCAAGAACTATCTTAACTCAGATTGGTTTGACAAATTATATTATTGTAGGACAATGGACAATGCTATACGGGCGAAGTATTCGGTTAAAGACTTTGCATTATAAGAATGCAGCACACAGATGCAAGGGCTGTTGAAGTCTCTTGTGCCCAAGTATTATTCTGCTGAGGCAAATTTTTTTATTTTGTTTTATTTATTATTATTATTATTTTTTTTATAGAGATAAGAGATCGAAAAGTCTCACTTATTTAATAGAAATAGTATCCATGTTGGTTGTTGGCAAATGACGGTGTTTATTTGGAAAGGCCCATTAAAACTTTGGGAACGCAATGATGGACCCACCTTTTGGGCTTAAGCCTTGTACACATGGTGAAGTTTTGGATAGACTGTTTCAAAAGTAAGGGACATTGACATCTTTTACTTAATTTTGAGAATCCTCACTTCACCAAATATTTCAACAAATACAAAATTTCAAGAGATATTTTCATGCCTTTTTTATTATTTTTAAAAGTAAGCTTTTTACAAGTCCATTGACCTGAAAGTTTTATTACTTATACCGAACAAACAAATATTATTCAAAGTGTTTTTAAATTTGAAGAGTCATATTCTGATATTTACATTTTAAATTTTTAAATAATTTCTAAATTTATCATCCTCAGCATAGCTTTGCTTTAGTCTTCACTTTTTCCTCCTATGGTGAACTTCATTCTTTTAATGAATGGAATGATAAAATTACTCTTGAAAACTAGTGTGCAAATATACTCTATTTTTTTTTTTTTTTTGGAGCTAATATCAGAGCGTGCTCAGGCTAGTGGGTGTACGTGAGTTTCCTCATTTGCAGGCATGTCAGGACCATAGGATGATAGTCGGTTTGATTTGTAATTAAGCTGGCCTAGAGGCCGAACTATACAAAACCAAGCAAATATTCCTGGTGATATTGCCACGTGGATAATAATCTTAATCTTAATCTTAATCTTATCTGACTTCAACGATTGTGTAGAGTAGAAATAAGTGTTTCGTTGGTCCTTATAACTTTGTCCCTAAACAAGACTCTACTACTTGGCAAGAACCATTTTTGCATTTTTGTTTGATTGTGTGAGGGAGAGAGAACCTTACAATGATTCAAAGAAAGGTAACTCTTTTCGCGTTGAAGATTGGTTACAAGACTTGATCGCTTTACATGGCTTTGGTCCCAAGTACAATCTACCCTTAACCCAAGCAATAAATGCTATCCTAAATCTGGAATGAAAGTTGTGCTGAAAGCAACAAAGTGCAAGTTTCAAATAAAATAGGGAAAATTACATATAAATGGAGTCAAAGTTTCATATTTACTTAGAGACTGAGTCAAAGTTCCATATTTCTCTAAAATGGATTGCTGAGGTGGCACATGGTTTTTTACTGTTTAAAAAATTGTGGTGTCTAAAATGCCCTTCCCTAATAAAAAAATAGTACCTTCAGTTCAAAAAAGTAGTACCTTCAATTAAAAAAAGTAGTACCTTCGGAGAAAAAATAGTACCTTCGCGAGTGTTTAAAAAACATGGTACCTGGACGCCAAAAAGTAGTACCTTCAGTTCAAAAAAGTAGTACCTTCGAAGAAAAAGTAGTACCTTCGCAGAAGGGTATTTTAGGTATCACAATTTCTAAACAGTAAAAAACCATGTGCCACCTCAGCAATCCATTTTAGAAAAATATAGAATTTTGACTCAGCCTCTAAGTAAATATGGAACTTTAACTCCATTTATATGTAATTTTTCCAATAAAATAAGTGTGAAAGACTATGGTGCAGGACCTTTTCTTAAACATAAATGAGTTTTATTTATAGCTGAGGCCGAGCAATATTAGTCATTAGATTAGATCTTGTATGAATGGTTAAGATGGACTCTAGATGCAAGCTATCATGAGCACGTGCAGAGAGGAAAGTTGAGCTTTGAGCACGAGAGAGGAAAGTTGAGCTTTGATAGGATATTTTGATTGTCGCATTTAATGCAAAGTATAAAACGCCACCTTCGACTTGACAACTTGTCGCCAACTCTATTGCCCTTTTATTTTAGGCATTTGATTACTTCGCTAACTGAACATTTACTTTCCTCACTTTTGCATGCTTGAATGCTGTAATGGACAAAATCAATGGTTCATCGGCCTGACCCTTCTTCGGCCATGAGTTCAGTTCTTATATCTTCAACTCTGGGACTCAACTCCTCTAAGCCCAATGCTCCTTACATATTGTGAGTATGCATGTTAGAGACAATATTGTGACGTTGTTTTGATTTTTTAAATAATAAATAAATAAAAAAACCCTTTTTGAAGGGCAATTATCTTAATTTTTTTTTCTTAAAAATAAAATAAAATAGCTAAAGTATAGAATTTTGGTTCTTGACCTTGTCTCTATTAAAAATAATGGATGGAACATTAAACACTGTAGCATCAATTGAGTGCATGATGGTTGGTGAATTTGTTGTTGATAATCCTCAACTTTAACTTTATTAGAATAATGCTTTTGTACCGAGTCGTGGTTACACATGGATAAAAACACACACACACACACACAGATGGGCAAGCAATCAAATTGAGTATAAAACATGATTTTTTTTTTTAGCAATTAAAAGGTGAAGGATGGGGCCGGCCCTGGCCCAAGGCGACCAAGGCGGTCTTGGGCCTCAGATTTTAGAGGGCCTCAAATTTTGAGGCCCATAGGGGATTAAAAAAAAAAAAAAGTTAGGGCAAGTTTCAGACGACACAATCTGCTTCGACACTCCGCAGGGCTATCGCCTCAGATGACAAGGTATGTTCATCCTCTTTCTCTCTTCTCTTTCCTTTTGCATGAATCGATCTTTTATATATGTTTCTTTCTTTCGCTCATCTCATCATTTGATTTGTTCTAACTTTGGTTCATTTGATTCGGGCCTTCACCTTTGTTCCAATTGTGAAAAGTAGCTAGGGTTTTGTGTGTGTGTGTGTGTGTGTGTGTCACTGTGTGTGATGGCTATCAAAAGCTGAATGAATATATTATGGTTCTCTTAGTATTTTAATAAATGTGTGCCTTTCTACATGTGTCTTCCATGGCGATCGAGTCCATAATCTATGGCAGCTACTTTTTTTTTTTCCTCATAATTTTTTGCATTTTCACATTCAATCCCACAAAAATTAAGGATCCCTTCTAGTGGGTTGAGGTAATAATTAACTTTTTCCATCTCTAAATTATGCTCATACTTAAAAGTGCCAAATTATGGGTTTTTTTATTTTTATTTTTGTTTTTATGTGAAGATACATACCACCATTATTGATGTTATTTGAAGTTGGCTCAGCTAGAATTTCAGTTAATACTACTGTCAAAGCACTTGCCTTCAGAATGTACAAACACATGGAAATCAAGAGCAGGCTTTAACAAACCAAAAGTTAATGGTTTTTTCTATTAATTTGCACAGGTCTTCTGTACCAATGATCAATCAATCACTGCGGGAAATCGGCTCCCAAAAAAAACACACACACAAAGTGTAGTATAGTTAATATAAAGAGTGAAAGACAAAACTATATATGATAGTGGATGCCAGGTATAACCTAAAAGTCCCCCTACTTCAGTACTACAAGTTCAGCCTCCTATATATATATAGTCACCTCATCTCCACATATTTTTGTTATCTGTAATCATCAAATTTTAGTAGCTATATAAACAATGAATGTAAAAGAAGCTGCAGTTTTCTGTTCTCTAGTAAACTGTTCTCTTCATTTTTTATTTTGTACCTGTGAAAATTTCGCACTCTTTAATTGATAAATTTATTGTTATTAGTTAGCTGTCTTATGCACACTACACATGCGCAAAATTATTTATTGGTGGTGATAAAAATTTATAGTTCTTAGTTAGTTGTCTTAAGCACACTGTACAGACGCACAATTATTTATTGGTGGTGATAGATTTATACTTATTAGTTAGTTGTCTTATGCACACTATACAGGCACACAATTATTTGTTAGTGGTGATAAATTTATAGTTATTAGTTAGTAGTCTTGTGCACAATGCATAGGGGCACAATTATATTAGCTATAGAATTTGAAAACATCATGTTAAAATTTCGCACTCTTATAATTCTTTTTTGCATGTGTGAAGCTCAAGGGCCTCACATTTGAAAGTTCGCCTAGGGCCTCTCAAAATATTTGGAATCTCAGGGCCGGCCCTGAGTGAACCAGAAGAGTTTTTGGCGACAGAGTGAGAGAATGTCGAAGAAGAACAACTTAGCTCTCACAAGGAAAGCGCACGAATTCGACCTCAGAAGTAAAAATCTTTCAAACCCTTTTCTCTCTTTTCAGTATATATAAGCACATAGATGTTACAAGTCTGTAATCATCTTATTCAGTTTGTTCTTTTTTCTGTTTGGCAAATTAGGAGAGAAAGAAGAGAGAGAAAAGAAGGCAATGAAGTTGCGGGCGAAGAAGAACAAGATGAAGGTATATCTCTATCGTTCTCTCGTTGCTGTTATGCTTTGTTTGTCAAATGCATTTATTTTAAATTTTTGTTTAGCTCTTTCGGTGAATTTCATTCTATCATCTAATTTTGTTTCCTTTTATAAACTATCTGTAGTTTATTTCAAGAGAAGCTAGACAATAATTAGAGCAGTATTTCAATATATACTTGGTGTTTTTGAGAGGAATAATGGTTCAAAGCAAGAACTAAATTGTCTAGATAGGTGTGAAATTAACCCCCCCTTTTATGTAATATGTATAATTTTTATAATTTAGTTCGTTTTCGATTGTTTGAAAGTATTGGTGTCTGGGAATTATGTGCTTAGGTGGATGGTAGTGACAAGAAGAAAAAGAAGGGTGCAAGTGGTTTTCAAGTTAGGAAGAAAAAGGTGAAGACCAAACTGACGGCCTTGGCTAAAGCGAAAGCTGCACAGGCGATGGAGGTTGACAAATGAGGTTCTGCATGATTCAATTAGTTATATTTAAGAGTTATCAGTTACAGATGGTATGCTGCAAGATTATTTGTTTCTTTTGTGGTTTGTAACTTAACATGTTTATATATGGTATACAATGGCATTTTGGTCTTCCTTTTTATGTGGTCCTGTTTTTGAATTGATAGTTTATATCAGGTTTCAAACAACATGAATGGTTACGGCTCTGGCCCAGTTATTGTCTAAAGTAGGTGGCAAACCATAGTTTTCCATATTGGCGAAGTTTTTGTGACTTAGGCTAGTACGAAACTGTGAGAATCAAAATCACGCAAGAGTCGACCAAGTCGCTAGGGAATCGGTCGAGTCTCATCCGAGTCCCTTGGAAATTGACCGAGTCAGCACATTTGATATTGTGCAACGTCGCGAAAATTTGATGACCGTGACAACTGATCCCATGACGTTATTCCTGATATGGCCCCTTTTCGTTACATCTTATCTGCTGCGTTGGCGGCCGCCCCTTGAGCCCTGGTGCAAAGTAAATTTCTATGAATCATTTTTGTCCACTAAATTTTTTTCTACAATCAATAAATATGAAAATTGCCTAGGAAAGTAAACCATAGTTTTAATTACTATATAGGGAAGGAAATATTATGGTGGGAGAGCTTAATCTTTAGTTTGCCAGAATTTGGTGATAGAAGAAGCGTTTCCCCCGAACCATTTTTCCCTATTAGCAAGCTTTCAGAATTCTTTTTTCCCTTTGGTTTGGATAGGTGATAGGCTCTGTTACATGAACTCTTCAAAAGTCGGACACGAACCCCTTAGACATGGGTATGGAATATGTGTCCAACACTTTTGGTTGGACATGTACTTAAAAAGCATATCCAATCATTCAATGACATTATATTATTACTTTAAAATGAGTTAAATGCCTATATTGAACATTCTATTAGAGAAAAACATTACTTTATTCTAAAAAATAAAATAAAGTAATTAATAAAATGAATATTTAGACGTGTCCGTGTGTCCTTCTGTTTGGAGATTTGACATGTCCGACGCATGGATACATACCAGTGTCCGACACTTGTACCCGAGTCCATGTAACATAGGCGATAGTTTTCGAACCTTTGCATCTGGTCGAAAGGTAACCCCCAATTTATCACTAGGCCAAGCCACTAGTTGAAATGTTAGTGTGGTGTTGTTTTGTGAGGTGATTTTTGCATAATTTCTGCTTTGATGGATGAATATGGTGCTAGTGATGGTGCAGATAGTATTGTGTGGCAATCCTGCGAGTGTTTTATGATTGTAGAAGACATGGGAAACCATTTGATGCAATGATTACATGGTTTTCTGTTCACATGTTTCACCTGGGAGCTATATAATAGATATTGATGGCTACTAGGACAACCTGTTGCGATCATGCTTGAGTAGTCATGACTTAAAACTCTAACACTTGCCTGCTTGACGCTTGTAGGTGCAAATAAAATTTCGTGTCGGAATGCAATAGCGATGGTGTGGTGGCCGGAGGTGGATATGATGAGGAGGGCAGCATTTGTGTGGTGAGGTATAGATGAAAGTGAGGTGGACGTGGAGGTAAAGGTGGTGGTTGCATTGGTAAGAAGCGGCGTCATGGTCCTGTAGAGATGGTCTTAGTATTTGTGATGGTAAAGATTGTAGTAGTGAGAAGCAAATTGCACCTCAATGTAATGAAGGTGGGAATGGTGGCAATATTGAAGATGGTAATGATGGCAAAGGTGAAGGTGGTAATGGTAGTGACAGCAAGTGCTAGTGTTGGAAAGAGGGGTATTGCTTGAAGAATTTCTTAGGACGGTAGCTAAAATAAGTTGGATTTACAAGTCCTAACTAAAGGCTTAGAATTGTCAAGTTGTGTTATATCATGGAGTTCAGAGTCTTTAGAAATTAGACTCATCTAAATAGGGTGCAAGTGAAATTCAAGGATACTACTGGTGCAGGAACATTGCATCCAAGCCAAGATTCCAGATCCTTGCAATCAGTGTTTTTGAGAATACATTGGACCTCATAGAAAAAGAATTTGATGGAAAAGCTTATCTAAACTACTTTGAATCACCAATATAAGTTATACCAAGCTTTCCTTCCATGCCAAAATACAAATCTTTCTACATCAAAAAGGCTGAAGAGTGCTCTCTTGATGCTTGCATGCTTGACTCTGCAGTTAAAGAGATACCTCCAGTTGTTGAAATTTCTAATATTAGGTGGCTGAGACAAGGAAGGATAAGTACGTGTCGAGGCTCCGCAAAAAAATAAAAGAAATACTACATTTTAATATAGATTTATGCTATACAGGGAAAATGCATTTTTTATATGGATTTAGTCCATGTCGTCTTCTACTAGCATGTTTGAAAAACATTAATAAGGGATTCCCTTGAGAGGGTTGGAAAAGCTTGCAGCCTTTTGGAAATGGGCTTTCTCAATGGTTGTAATTAGGATGGGTATGCCCCTCCTTTGCTATCCTGTATAGCTGTTTGTTGCAATCAAAGTTTACTTATGAAAATAAATAAATAAATTAAAAAATAATAATAATAATAATAAAAGAAAAGAAAAATGGAGCCTAAGAAAAAAGAATCTCCCAAGTCCTTTCATGTCAAGTTTTTACTGGATTCAACAGTACTAGAAAACAACATATCATTGGGAAAATAAGTTACCTCTGTTGTCCTAAAAGACTATACTTGCCCCATATAGAATAGTTGTACTCTTACTGTATCTTGACAAACATATCCAGGAATAATAATAATAATAATAAAACCATCTTCAGCAATTAAAGCTATTTCTGGAAGAAAAAGAAATACACAAATTCTATTTTCTTCATTTTCAAGTGTACTTCAATACAAGACCCAATTCTAAGACTTTCATTGCAGATTTACAAATTCAGTCACCAGCACAGCCTTAACCTCTATTTCTGCAACATTTCTGCAACAGGTTCAAATTTTCGCTCTAGCCAATAAACCACAGTTACGGTAAGCAAAATTTGCTACCAATCCCTGATCTCTGCTGCTTCTCATCGAACATAAATTAATAGTTACAAAAAGCTCAAAATTCAAAACAATTTGAAGTTTTCAAAAAGGGGACTAAAAGAAAAATGAAATTAACAAAAATATTTTTTAATTTCAACTGAATCTACATTACTCGCACCAAGATGTCCTTCAGCTATTAGCTTTGGCCTCTACTGCTCAAAACAGGCATTGAAATGCCATTATTTGACCGTTCGTTCAATCAAATCTATAACTCAAGGAACAAACAAAATGGGAAGACAAAATTCAACACTAAGGGCAAGTGCACACAACTTGATTGTGCTCGTGCTGGCCCATATTTAATTACTTGGAGTGCTTCCTCCGTCACATGATTCAGCTGTCTTAATATTCTCAGCTGCTGCCTTGCTTAAACCCAGTTTTTCTAATTCATTCGAGAAACTATTAACATCAGCACGATTAATTATATACGGGCTGTGGACAGGAGCAGGAAATGAACCATTTGTCACCTCTTCTTTGTACTCCAAAAGAGCTTTATTGATGACATCTCCGACATGTGCATGCTGCTTACAGAATTTTGGAGTTACCTGCAAAAGGTGGAGAAACCCTTTCCTAGTTATACAACTCCATAAAAGAAGGGAAGATCATCAATCAAGCCAGAATGGCAAACTGGCATTAGGGGAAGTAACCTTCGCATGATGTGGATGCTGCATCATTCCCAGTAGATCATGGAAACCAAGACCTGCAAAAACAATGGAAGTAATCAATACCAAAACAGCAACCGGCCACATCAAAAATTCAATTAATCATCCCCATTTCTAATAAAAGCAAGTAGAACGGGCAGGCATGATTGTATTAGTTAGATGATACGATATATGACACACCAGTGCCTCCTAGAAGTAACCTATATGATGTCCTTTGAGATCAATACCATCACTCCTCGGTAATTTATACCTGAGAAAAGAAATAGTGAAAATGAAAAAGGATATCCTTCCTTGAATGCAATTTAGAAATACAAATGCACTAGAAAAAAGAAATTCTGGTATTCAATTATTGGAAAGTAATTCAAAATCAATTTTGCCAATGTGAACAAACTGTAAAAATGAAACATAAAATTTAACTAGTATCAGTGCATTTGGATGTAGAATTTATAATTTGTTTAGCAAAAGTCACAATGCCCAAAATGGATAATTGAATCACTTCCGAAAAGAACACCAAAAGAACTGGAGGAACAGGGATGTGTTTGTGGTCTACTCGACATGTTCCATCAGGATGGAACTGCTAGTCAACAATAAGCAAGGATTTCCTTCGTCGAAGGAATAACATAAAATCTCAAAAACTAAAAAGGAATTGTGAAAAAAATATAAAAAAAAATCGGCTGTTGAATCACAGGGCAGGAAGAATCCTCTGACTGAACCATTTGATAATAATGACCAAAAAAATAGAAATCAGATAGTCTATGTCAAACCTGCATACCCTTGCTACAAGTTTCTGAACTCCTAGAATTCTACATATATAATTGTGACAATCATAAGTTTCACGTGTTCTGAAAATCAATTTTTACAGCTTAAAGGGCAATAGTTTGGATGTAGAGAAATTATTATAACCCACAAAATTCATGATATTGCTGAATGAACCATTGGACTGATTGATTCTCTAGTTCTCTACTATAGTGTTGACTGTTGAACATTGTACTCCCTCCGTCCCAGTTTAAGTGAAATTGTGAGTCACAGTTCCCAATGACGACACTTAAACTGGGCCGAAGGGAGTATTTGATTACTCTACTCGCAAGAACTAACCATATTTAAACTTTGGGATGATCTTTCCATGCAAAACTACAATTATATTTTGCAAGTAAAACAAACGCACAAGGATATGATATCACAAAATCAGTCATTACAAAATAAAAGCAATGACCCATTAGACTACAATCTATTTATAGCAATCTGAATAAATACACACACAAATATAATCCATTTCTGTTAGCAAAAGGAATGATGCGAGCTTGGAAATCAACTAACCTGCCCACTGCAGAAAGGCCCAGCTCCAATGCCAATTGTGGGAATACGAAGAGCAGAGGTTGCAGCTGCAGCCACGGGAGCAGGAACGCATTCCAGAATGACAGAAAAACACCCAGCTTCCTGTAAGGCAAGCCA